CGAAAATACCTAAGCTAGTGGCAGGCTATGTTCAGGATAATACTGTTTCCGGTACTCTGGTTTTATCCTGTATTTTAATACATTGAAAGGAATAATAATCTAATGCAAAACTATTAATACTCTGATATAATACTGCAGCGCTGGGGATACCGTCGGGCAGCCTGCAGCTCCCAAGGGAAGCTCCTGGTCAGTGATACAGCCACAATTGCTTGTTAATAACATAGTAATCCAGTCTGAACTGTGGAGAACAGCAGCAGCGCAGGGAGCTGGGTGGTGATCTCAGCCTCCAGCCCCCAGACCAAGGCCTACCAGCCCCAGGGGGGCCCTGAAGGAGCACGAGGCTCTGCTGTGCAGGCCTTGGCGATCACTGGATGGTGCAGGAGAGCTGCGAGGCTCTGCTGTGCAGGCCTTGGCGATCACTGGATGGTGCAGGGGAGCTGCTGGAGGTGCTGGTGCCCTGAGCCTGTGCCCCGTTGTGCTGAGCCTGGTGCATGGAGTCGTACTGGCCTGGCTGTCGGCAGGACGCTAAGCTGTTTGGCCCCCAGTGTGACGTGTGCGCGGCTCGGAGGGGTCCTAGCCATGGCGAGTGTGGGGGTGGACATTCTGGGCCCCAGTTTCGCACCGAGGCTGGGAACTGCTACATACCAGTGGCCACAGATTACTTCACACAGTGGCCCCAGGCGTACGCAGCTCCCGACCAGAGCGCCCCCAGTACAGTGAGGCTCCTCGAGAAGTTTTCCTGCCGCTTTGGGGCCCCAGAGCAGCTGCACGGTGACCAGAGGAGAAACCCAAGCTGGACAGTGACTGCAGGGGCCCGTGGAGAACCTGGAGCGAATCTGAGGTGGTGAACCAGGGGCGGATGCCAGTGAGGAGCAGGACTGACGTGCCGCATCCCGGCCGCCTGGCTCTGTACCTGCCATTGGCCCACTCAGAGCACCCATCTCCAGGAGGATCCCCCCGGCAGTCGGGACTGAGGAGGACGGTGGGGGACTTGCGGCCCAGCGGTCGTGGGGGGTTCCCACTGCCCGAAGCGCTATCGGGACTATGTGGGGGTAACAGGATGGGTAAACCTCCTAGGAGGGGGGCAGTGCAGTGCTGGGGGTACCTATCGGGCAGTGTGGGGGCTTGCTGGATCAGTGCCAGGAGAGTAAGCAGTGCAAATAGCTCTGTGTATTTATCATGCACTGTGTTATTGGGCTGTACGTTATTTTCATGGGTAGAGTTAATGTTAATCACTGTAAATAGTGGTGTGTGCGCCCACTGTGTGCAGTATGAGTGGTTGGGACGGTCAGCATGGGGGCAGTGTGTGTGTGTGTGTGTGTGTGTGTGTATTGTGTTGTAAGAGTGACTGGCTCACTAAAACCATCTGGAGTGTCCTCCTGCACTTTAACTCCACATCACCCATTTG